GCATATCATAGTCATTATATTGTTTTGGTATTGTACATTGACGTGAACTTCTTCTTGTCTCTGCAGTTGGGCTATCAGTAGAATTAGTGCATCTTGACCAAGCAGGTGGTGACTATTTTTACTGACCAAATTTGATTGGCGTAACCATTGGATAGACCAGCCAAATTTCGTCAGTGAAGTCAGTCGGTCAGTAAAAATAGTCACCACCTAGAAGTACTGACGGTTTGTGTGATCTATACTCTATGACTAGCCAGTGTTTCTAGTGTAACTTTTAAGCATGTTTTTCCCTAAGTAGTTCTGTTTTAGCTGAGTTTCTCTGAGTGTTTCCGATACACAAAGGATGTTTGCGTGGTAAAACTATTCCTATTGAATTGTTTCACATAAAGAACAACTCAGATTTTGGTAGAATGTGCGAGAGAAACTAGAAAACAAAATTATTTTTTAGGTGGTAGTTCTATGACACAAAATTAATTTTAAAGATTGTTTTTAAGGATCACTTCTGATTTCTAAATTTGACAGCAGCATGGTACGTGATATCACCTGGTCAAGTGACAAGGTAATTGTTTTATAGATTGGAGATGTGGAAGAATTTTTTAATAACAACGATTAAGTCATTATTTGAGCCTTATACAAGGACCTTTTGTTGTCAGAATTCAACACAACAACACTTAAAATTAATTACATCAAACGATAACTTTAGTGTGAAAAAGTACGATCTCATGATGAAAAATTTCAATAAAAGTGGTCAAAATGAAAAAACATTGAAATTATTTAATGAAATGCGTTCAAAAAATGCAGTAAACATGAATGAAGTCATTTATCTTCTAACCATTGATGCATGTATAAATATGAAAAATTTAGAACAAGGAAAACAGATTCATCGTATGATAGTTAACAATAACGATGAATCAATAAAAAATGCAATTCAATTGAAGAATGCATTGATAAATATGTATGCGAAATGCAATGACCTTAAAAATGTTGAGCTGATCTTTCGACAAATGAAACAACGAAATATTGTTACGTTCAATAGTATGTTAAAAGGTTCGTACCGTCAGATTGTAGTGATGTGTGTTTTTGAAAAAGGTCCCATCCTACCAATTCTGCACGATAGATTTTCAACTTTAAAAAATTTTATCTGCAGAATCTTTTTTAAGCTAAAGATCAAGCTTTTTCAAAATGTGCATTCTTCTTAATGAACTTTGAAATAGTTGTTCTGTCTGTCTAGGCTATACAATCAATGGAATGCCCCATAAAGCAATGGAATTGGCAAAGTCAATTGAACAACAGCAATTAGAGTTTAGTTCCGTTACATACAATTTAGTCATTAATGCATGTATCGAGATTGGTAATAGTGAAAGTTTCGAGAAGGGCAATCAATATTATAAACAATTATTACAGGATAAAAATATTCAATTGTCTAATGAAATAGCCCTACAAACATCACTGATTGATCTGTATGGTAAAAGCGGCAATGTGAAAATGGCTGAAAAGATTTTTAATGATATGAATAATCGGGATGTTACAGTATATGGTGCATTAATGAATTGTTATAATTTGAATGAATTACCACATCAATCAATTGAATTATATAAAACCATGAAACAACAGTCCGTTGTTACTTACATATTGGTCATTAATGCATGTGCTCAATTAGGTATTAAGACAGTACTTAAAAGGATTCATGAACAAATATCAAAACAATATGTTGATCATGACTTAATGCTACAAAATTCCTTGATTCAAGCTTATTGTAAATGCGGTGATGTTGAGACAGCCGAAAAAATTTTTAGCTCAATATCCAAACGCGATATTATTACTTATTGTGCAATGATAAATGGATATGGTTTAAATGGTTGTGGTGCGGAAGCTGTTGATTTATTTTACAAAATGAAAATTGAAGCAAAAATTATACCTGATCAACAGGCATATGTTTGTGTTCTTAATGCATGTAGTCATTCTGCCTTAGTTGGACAGGCAAAATCAATTTTTAAATCTATTGAAAATAAAGATGAAAAAGTTTATACAGCAATGGTATGTATTCTTTTCTCCAAACCGGTACTACTGTCATGTTTAGAGATTATTCTACTTCTGTTTCAGGTTACACAATCATCATAAACTTTTTCTTCATTTTTTTCTAAACGAAGGCGTGTAGAGAATTGTGATTATTACTATTCGAGAGAAGAAATTTGAGATATCTTTCTGTAAAAAGTTATTTAATTTTCAGGATACAATATCTTCTGCACTTTTCATTCCATTTTGATCAGTTTTAGGCTGTTATGAGCTTCTTATTGCTAGATGAACAGAACTAAAAGTAGTTTGAAACACTAGTTTCGATATTATTGACTTTTTATTAGGTTTGGGACTTTTCTGGAAATCAGATATTGCCACTAGGCTCAATATTCATGCGAATTATTCTATGTATAATATGTTATTCTAGGTTGATACATTAGCACGTGCTCACCTATTTGATGAAGCTCAACAACTCATTGATGAATATGAACAGCAACAAGGAAATAAATCGTATATACCAATGTACATGGCATCATTATCAGACGCAACAAATAATCAAAATAGTCTGAAAACACAAGAAATTTATGATAAAATATGTTCCATACAGAATGCGGATAATCATACTTTGGTAGCTGCTTCAGGTTTATCGACTAATTCAGCACATAGTAATGATCAAAAATTAACAAAAATAAGACAACAACTTGCAGGAATGAAAAGACTAGTCGGCGTTAGTTTGACAACAGTTAATGGTCAAATTTTTCAATTTAAAGCACATGATCGACGTCATCCACTATCAGATAAAATTTATGAAGAATTAGATAAGATGGCCAAAGAGCTTAAACAAGATGGATATGAGTGCGATGAACGTTGTAAGTTCACTTAATAGCTTATCTTAGCTGATACACCATTATTACCGACGTTATTTGTCCTGGAGCCAGTTTCTTAAAAAAACTTAAGTGGAAAAATAAGTCATACTTAAGTCAAACTTAAGTTTTGACTTAAGTGTGTTTCTCGAACGACAACTTAAGTGCAACTTAGCGCTAAGAAGAAAATTTCTACTGAAGTTATGTAAGCGCATTAAGGCGACAAATTTCTTCACTAATGTGGAAGAAGGCACTAAGGTTACTGTCATGGCTTAGGTAATAATTGGAAGAAGATTCATGAGCAGCTACACAAGTCGACAATCTTGAGATCATTTCTGACAGAATCTTGATTTCAGGTCAATCTTATCAGATTCTAACCCTATACAATCAATAATAAGATTCAGATTAGAATGACCTGATCTGAAAAATTTTTCAAGATTCATGGTCACTGATTCTTGGTAAGAAATCAAGATCAGTCCATTCTGATCTGAATCAGGAGATTGTTTGAAA